AAATTCCATCGTTCAAATTGTAATCAATGACTGGGGATATAGTGTGCACATAAGATCAAAGGTAGTCGGAGGTAGTTGAGTGTGGAAACGTTCCTTGACAAAGGTTTTATCATTAGAGTTGATTGTCAGTAAAGCGGTAACTTCCCCGACTGTGAAGCTGACTGACGCATGTTCGAATTCCACAGAGAGAGTGTAGGTACACTCTTTTCAAAAAACCTAGGTCAAGTACGATTTCTTGTCAACTATCCTCAAGTAATTATCGTTTAAGCAAATGTTAATATTATATAGACTACGAAAACATTCAGTTTCAAAATAGTTTAAGTTATAATGTGCAGTGACCATGATCTGAACGTGATTCCTACTAACTCCTCACACTGACTACTTCAGTGTGAAGACAAGAGTGGATTAGAAAGTTTATTTGGCTACCGAATCGTATATACACAATCCTCCGGCCTTAGAAAATGAATCCATTTCGTCCTTTTTTAGTACACTTTTGATAATCATTCAATGGCCTTCTCATTTGACCACTTCTGATTGGCTCACCATAGTTTACTCATAGAATGACCTTGAGATTTTTTTTTAGAAGCAGGAAACAGTACAACCACAAACACTCCATTTTTAAAAAAAGGATTGTTCAACAGCAGACACTCTTACTTTATTAACTAGGTATTGAATACAAATATTTTTTAGGCTTATTCATTTTGTGCAAGTTTTATTTCATTGTGTAAAGATTAAATGTTGTAACCAATATGAATTGATAACTTTTTTTCAAATATGGATGTACCTTGTTCAAGATAAGCCACATTCAAATTTCAACAATTCATTTTAATTTGACGCAATTTTTGCAAAGATAGATGAAGAAGAAGAGGCTTGGCACTCAGGTTAATCAGCAATCAACAAACACATCCACGTTGACTCAATTTATCAACCAATCAGAAAAATCATAGGCAAACATAGGATCAAGAAACAGATCAAAAAGTGTGATGGCAATCAAAACAAAGGTGCAAACAACGATAGGTTTTTTAATGTCAACAATAGCAACCAATCAAGATCGAAAATTGAGCAGAACAAGTTACAGATCAAACGTGGAGAAATACGAATGCTTCACTTCTTCTACCGTGAAGTTTGTGCTGATGATGATGATGACGATGTTGTTTTGTTCAGCAGAAGAACAATGACAGCTTCACAATCAAAACAATATCCAGTTCAGAGAACGAAACATCAACCTACAGTCATCCACCTGAGCTAGAAATTTTCTTCAGCATCTCAAAATCTGATTCACTCATTTAATGAGTATACTTTTATCATTCTGTAAAAATAATAAACTTTTGACATTCTTTTAGTTTTTTTGTCTTCAACTCAATTAATTGTATTGTGTATCCACGATTATGATTATGATGTATGGTTGTAGACGGTAGTTTGTTTTTAAGAATTTGTTAGTTTTCAAATGAAGTACTACTGATCGATATGAGTTTGTAATTACAAATTAAGCTACCTTTTCTTAAATTTTTTGTGAAATGAATAACTTTGGATGATTTTTTTAAAGTGAATATGTTAGTGGACACAAACAAAAATAAGCTCCGAATATCGATGGATAACAGAGGAGATTGTGTTCTCTTTTACTCTGGGCAAACCTGTCACACAGTCAAACGGCTTTAGTTTCTGATTGCGAAATCCTACTCGAAGCTTTCGCAAGATGATTTTACGGAAGTAAGTGGTTAAAAAGAAAACTGAGATCCATTAGTTAGAATTGGAGTTTGAAAATGTAAAAGGGTTAGAATTATAGAACTCTGATTGCAAACCCATAAGGTAAATGAGCTCCTAAGATCTAGAAGAAAGAAATGACGTAGAAGTACACTTTTGACATTGACAGTCATAAAACTGAATCTCTTAGCGCTGCCTTAATTCCTTGTGAATTAAATAATGATTTCAAAAGCTCGGAAGTGGTCTCTTCAGTAAACCGCCTATTTGAACCAAAGCTTCCAAGTTCGAATCCCAACCTGTATACAAATATGGTGATGTTTCTTGATGGAAATATTCTCGTCTCTCTTTGTCGAAGTCGATAAATGTAGAGATGTACATAACTCATTTTATTAGAATTTCAATCAGGCCAGATTATATCCATGGATTATTCATTCAACTTTCAACCATATTGATTGTAAGAATTATTTTATTTAAATGAATTTTAACACATGAACATTAATACTAAAGGTCATCTAAATATTGTTGCAACACACAAATTATTAATCCCGCCTGGAGACCCTCTGGAGCTACTGCCGGTCCTAAGACCGGATAAAGGAGGAGGGTTGGGCATGAAGTTGGCGACCCCATCCCACAAAAAAATATCTCGCTAAAAAGCGCTAACCAAAAAACATAATTCAAGCCATTTTAACTCTACCCTTGGAGTTAGAAGGTCTTATTTCAGAAAAATTATGACGTCTCATGATGAAAGCCGAATTTCCTCGGAAGTCACGAGACCAATGCCTCTTCTCACAATCAGAGCAACCATTCTTTTAGGTACATGGAACGTTCGAACATTGTGGGAGACTGGAAGACTATTTCAAGTTGCGGCAGAAATGAGAAGATACAACCTGGAGGTGGTGCTTGGAATCGGTGAAACGCATTGGACGCAGGTAGGACAACTGAGACTAGCTTCAGGGGAACTGCTGTTATACTCTGGTCATGAAGAGGAAAATACTTCACATACACAAGGAGTTGCACTGATTTGTGAGTGAATAAGCATACTGTTCACGTGTCCAAACTAAATCATGTCGTTTTCTCAACGGACCACTCTCTATGAGCGTTTCACCTACATAAGTCTAATTCACAAACCAATCAAACCAGCATTAAGAGATACAGTCTCATGCTAGTCGGTGATCAACAGCAGGTTGGTTCAAGTGCCATTGGTTCCATCAGGATCTTGGTGCCCATATATGTACCACTGATCGGTAGTGGTTTGGAATGAGGATTTTCCAACTTTTCTGGATAAAATTCTTCATACCCATTAACCAAGTTTAAGATCTGGCTAGAAATTTGCTTTTCGTTTTCTAAATTTCATAAACAACACCCCGCTCATGAGAAGGTATTGAGTAGAACTCCGCTAACAGTAACCATTCAATTATGGACATGTGATAGTATTGAGACAGAGAGAGTAGACTCTTCTAGACGAGCTATGTTTTGCAGTGTACGGGTAGGTTGGGAGAAAGCGAAGGGCGACCAGACCAAAACATGGCACAAATCTATGAAGTTACTGGCAAGTGGCCTGAGCCATGTTAGTAGGTGTAGATTACCTGGTTGGGATCCGCAAGACGTCAGTATAATCGATGGTTAGAGACCTTGAATGACATGGCTCAAAATTGTTTGCAATGGTGCAGGTGCATTCATTCTTTGTGTTCTCACAAATCCTAACCTTCCGAATCCCTCATCACAGTTATCTTTCTCTTTTTGAGTTTATTTGATTGGATTATACTTCTTGAATAATATCTTTAAACTCTAATCTTCTTCGTGGTGGTGTTTAGTTCTCTGAGCTGGATGTTGTTTTGGTTGTGGAGCTTTCAGTGTTCTTCTACTGAACAACATCAGCAGCAGCACAAACTTCACAGTAGAAGAAGTGAAGTATTCGAATTTCTCCACGTTTGACCTGTAGCTTGTTCTGCTCAGTTTTCGATCTTGATTGGTTAACGTCGACCTTAAACCTGTCGTTGTTTGCACCTTTGTTTTGATTGTATTGTAGTTCCTCCACATATATTCGAGTTAGCTTACATTTAATTTGGTTAAGCCCTTTCGATTAATTTGTCTAATAACCAAGCCATTTGTATTGCAACAATTTATATGTACCGTTCGTTCTTATTACTGTCTGGTTTGTATGAGCTCACATGACGTGTCCCATTTGTCATTTGCCCTTGTCAACTATTCGTCGCTTTAATTCATGTGTGTGCCTATTTCGCTTGTTGCATGTCTGTCTTATATTTGTCTGACTACATATTCTTAGTCATGCTCTATCTCTTTGAGTTGGCTCACTAGCCTTCTCCAACGCGCTTCGCCTGTTCATCCGCTTCTTTCGCCCACTCGTTCGCATTGTAATCCTGGCAGTTGGCTCAACAGCCTTCTCCAATTCACGTCGCTTCGTTCGTTTCATTCACTGCTTCTCCGATTGATTCGCTTTGTGGTGTGTTCCAAATAAACGTATTCAACACTACGAGTTCACCTTCTGATTTATAAACCGTCAGACGCTACTTAGTAACGATTGTCTAGACGAGCTAATTACGAAGCATAAGAACATGCAGTAAATCGGGACACTACAGTATTCTCCTTTTGATCTGTTTCTTGATCCTATGTCACCTATGATTTTTCCAATCAGAGAACTAAACACCAACCTACAATCATCCACCTAAGCTACAAATTTTCTCCACCATCTCTAATCATCTTCATTACCCCTAGAATACTTCTACAACCTCTATCTAGTACAATGGGATTTGAACTGACAATTCGATTTTTTGGTGCTAATGTGGTATGGCAACTTGAACTGATGTACGCACAGAGTTCTTCATTGTTGCTGACCAATTGACCGACTGGACTCTTCTCACCCTCAACCATACCATCGTATTTAAAGGATAATGGATTTTACAAGCATGACTTTCAATGAAAATAATGAACATTTACCCACACACACACACACACACACACACACACACACACAGATATCTTCAACTACACACAAACACACTTACTCATTATCAATCATCATTAAACTGATTAAATAATAATGAATATTTGTAGTATTTGAATGAAATAAATTTGTATGCATCATCATTAAACCATTGGCTAATTGATCTTCTAACATGGTTGTTGTATTCATTGATGAAATATTCGGTAATGATATAGTTGTATAAAAATGATCTGTGCATAATGAATTCATGCCGTCGGATGATTTATTATTCATTGATTGAACATTGAAATCCATTGATTCATTGATGAATGAACCGCCGTTATTATTATGATTATTAGTAGTAGTATTATTGAATGATGAAGTCATCATTAATGGCCTTGGATGCATGGTTACAGGGAAGAGAAGATTAGTTTTTGACTTAGAACAAGAATTGATTGTTGTATCTGTTGTGTTGGAATTTGTTATAGTGGTTGTGGTTGAGGTTACAACAGTTGGTGTCGCTGTCATTGTCGTCGTAGTATTACTACGATGAATATCAGATTTTTCTATTGTGGACTATTTAAGAAAAATAAAACATGCAATATTAGTAGTATGTATATAAATTTCATTGAAATCATAAATTAGTCAAATGTCAGATAATAATTAGAAACCTGGAAGCAATGGACGGCCATTTCGTCCTAGTATGGGACTCATCAGCAGTAGTGCGCACACATAACTCCCATTACACAAGAATCGAACCCAGAAGTTTTGGTCATACAACCACATGAAAGTTTAACCTCTTGACCACAGGTGCTGGCATCCAACAGTGTTAATATCTAACTTCAACCAATCTACGATATTGTACAACTCCATCTGTTGCCACAACGTATTACTTGGTGCGTATGTACATCAATTAAAGTTGGGTAAATCGCGACGGTTCTTTATCTTGACAAAGTGAGGTAAAATGAGTGACTCTACTAGGATCCTGTGTGCAAGTTCCGGAAACATAGCAAACACTAATGGCATGAGATTTTAAACTGGGTTAGCGTTAATCTTATAGATCTGAGAACGTAGCCGGAGAGCTCAAAGGAAAACTGCTTGAGGCAGGTCATACACAGTTTTTTGTAGGAATGACCTTACCGCCGAAGACGGAAACCCGTGAGGTAAAATGTGTGATATTTTTAGGGTCGGCGTTTTCTAATCATTTCATTCCTAGTAAGAAAGCAGCATCGTTGAAGATGCTGGTTGTCCGAGGGAAACAGCTTACTGCTATCATACCCCTCCACAGTCAGTAGTACGACTTCACCTTCAAACCTTCATTTGCTGCTTTTAGTTTCACCGTCTTCCAATCGACATGACTGATAGGGTCGGACGTAAAGAAACATATGTTCCAGCCAAAATAGATCGGTTGTGGCATCACAATAGGCAAGCTCGATCACCAAGTCAATGTAGCAGTTATGATCGGGGTCGTCCGTTGTCTTCGGTCGATAACTGTCTCACACAACGAACACGTTTGAATTCCATTGGTCACGAATAGCAATTACTTCATGACAGAAAAAAATACTCAAAACTTAAGAAAATTTTGAGGTTTAGTGATTCTAGGATGATTTCAATCACTTTTATGCAGCAAGATGAGTAGTACTGATCACAACACATCAATAAAATTTTAACACATGTGGAGGATCAAATCAACAGGCAGGTAAGATGTGAATAGCGAAAAGTACATACTCTGCATTTCATCTTTAGCTAGCTGGTGAGTGCACACACTGGTAAAAAGTCTTACTAATAAATCTACTAACTGAAATTAGTTCGTAAAACGAACACCATATAAAGTGAAAAATCTAAATTATAATCCGTAAAAACAACTAGCCAAATAAATATAAGAATCGATTCGTTATTCGAAACATACATATATATATATATATATATATATATATATATATATATATATATATATATATATATATATATAATCGAATGTCGAGATTGTAAAGTCACAGAAATGTAAACAGATACTGAACCTGTATGATATTACAGAAAAGAAAACCGAAACCAATTAAAACCTAATCGTTAATTTTATCCCCTCTCCCGTCTGTTCAATAATAACAATAAACTTATATATATATATATATATATATATATATATATATATATATATATATATATATATACCTTAATCATTATACTTGAAACATTCAATCAAAAAATAAAAATGGCTAGTAGGTTTATTTACAAAAAATTTACTGTAACACCACCACTCTCTAGGGTATTTCTTATTCATCTACAATATATGTATATAGTTTATATTATTAGCAAATAAATAAGTAAACAACTTGTTTAAGATCTTATTTATAATATAGGGAGTTATGGAGATTGTTGTGTATTAGTGAAATACATGAATGCGCATTATCGTTAGACCACTAATAGAGGCATGGCAGCACTGACAGAAGACTGTTTTGTCCTGGTATGGGACTTAATGTGCTCGCTAGCGACTAGCTTTGTAAGAAAGTTTCTCAAAGGTCTAGTGAGAACAAGTGACCGGTGGAGTTCAACCCTGTTGGGTGTAGGCAGTAACTACCGAGAACAAATGGATGAGGTCGCACAGAATCCGTAGATTGATCACAGTTAGACATAGACACCGTTGGATGCCAGTCGACTCAGTGATCCGGAGGTTAGGCGTACGCATGCAAGACCGAAGGCCCTGGGTTTGAAACCTGCCAGGTGCAGGAGTCGTGAATGCGCACTGTTGACGAGTCCCATATAAAGAGGAAACGGTCGTCCTCCAATGCTTCCAGGTTTCTAATGGTGATCTGACATTGGTCGATTCACGATTTCAGTAACTTTATCCAGTTCAACTTTAAAAATTAAAAAATTGACATTTTATCAATACCGGGAATAATTAGTTTCATTTTAACTATAAAGTGATCGAAAGACAAATCCCTATATTTGAAAACATGGAAGTACTGGACCACTGTGTTTTCTCAGTATAAGATATCCTCAAGAAATGTGCATCTACGGCTCTGCAAGCCGGAATCTAACCCCGGAGACTGAGATCTTGTGCATGAACATTAAAAACCTCTAGACCAGTCAGTTATGGATGCATACTGTGGAAAACTTCTATACTATGATGTAACGGCTTCCAGGTTTTCAATGGCGATCTAATATTGATCAGTATTATCATTTCAATGGAATTTAATTATCTATAAAAACTTATACAGATAAAAATTTATTTATTGGAGATTATTATAAAAAATTTTACAATATACAATTGGGTAAGCTTTATTACTACTATAAACACAGTGTTAATCCAACATAAACATTGGAAGATCTAGTCGAGGTAGAAGTCAACTCCGTATGGGATTTCTTATAAGATTATAAGTCCATACGCTGTCAGTGATTTAACTTAAGGAATTTAGACGTCGATCAATGTACCAGCAGCCTCAGCAGTAGCAGGTCTCAACATACACAAGGGGAAATGGGAGTATCCACTGATACAATACAACATGCAGCAATCAAATCACAAATGACAGTGAAACTTTGGAAGTTGTAAAAATCTTCACATATCTAGGCAGCATAATTAATGAGCGAGGTGGATCTGATGCAGATGTGAAAGCGCGGATCGGAAAACCAAATATAACATTTCTACAATTGAACAACATCTGGAACTCAAAACAACTATCAACAAACACCAAAGTCACTATTTCAAATACAACTGTATGGAGCGGGAACTTGGAGAACTACAAAAGCCATTATCCACAAGATACAAGTGTTTATTAAGAGCTGTCGACGCAAAATACTTCAGATTCGTTGACCAGACACTATCAGCAACAACCTTCTGTGCGAGAGAACAAACCAGATTCCAGTGGAGGAGGAAATCAGGAAGAAGCGATGGGAGTGGATAGGGCATTGCGAAAAGAACCGAACTGCGTCACAAGACCAGTTCTCACTTGGAATCCTCAAGGTCAAGGGAAAATTGGAAGACCAAAAAACACATTACGTTGAGAAATGGAGACAGACATCAGAAGAATGAACAAAAATTGGGTGAAAATAGAAAGGAAGACCCGGGACAGAGTAGGTTGAAGAATGCTGATCAGCAAGCCTATGCGCCATTAGGGATAACAGGCGAAGTAAGTAAGTAATTTCAGACAAGACTATGAGAACTTAGGCTATTGATCACCAGACCAAAAATCCAGCAGTCAGTCAGTCAGTTGCAACGTAGAACTTCGTACGTATGTACATAAGTTCATGTTGCCATACCACATTAGCACAGAGACGCAAATGTCAGATCAAATCCCATAGTGATAGAGATAGTAGAGGTATTAATTGGTAATGAAGAAGACTAGGGTTTGAAGATATTATTCAAGAAGTATAATAATTCAGTGAGATAAGTTTAAAAAGACAAAAGTAGAGGTGCTGACGATTCCAGAAAATTAGGATCTGAGAGAGCTCAACCAGCTCAATCCAGCGATTACTATTAATAACTTCAGTGAAATTGCAATATTCCTCAACTATTATTCACTTTAATTGGCAGGTAAATTAATGCCCTAACTTCAATACTTCATATTCAGAAGTAAAAGAATGAATACTTAACATTTTTTGTAAAGCATCAATGCTTGAAGTGTTCAATTAAACTCTGTATTGAGAAAAAGTCAACATCTTCACCAAAATGGAACTATATCATTTATATACTCTCCGACTGAGAGATCAAACCATAAAAAGTCAAATAAATCAAGAAATCTGTTTGTAACACACTGGAACTCCGCCCGAAGCCCCTCTGTGGCTACTGCCGGATAAAGGAGGAGGGTAGGGTGTGTGGTAGAAAACTAACTCGCTAAAAAAACGCTAACCAGAAAACATAGGGAGTGAAGTAGTCGAACGTGTAGACTGCTTCACTTATCTTGGGAGTCTCATAAGTGCTGATAGCCTGGTGACTGACGAGATCTCAGCGCGGATACAGAAAGCTCAGTTGGCTTTTGCCAACCTGCGACACTTATGGTGTAGGCGAGATATCCGTTCGCTGACCACAGGACGGGTGTACTGCACAGCAGTTTGCTCCGTTCTCATATATGGACGCGAAACATGGCCGTTAAGAGTAGAAGATGTTCGTAGGTTACTAGTATTCGATCAGAGATGTTTAAGGAGCATTGTTCGTATATCGTGGGACAACCGAGTAAGCAGTGATGTCATTAGGAAACGGATGCTAGGTAAGGATGGCAGATCAATAGATGAAGTGGTGGAACTTCATCAGTTGAGGTGGTTGGGACATGCGTTACGTATGGCTAACCACCGACTGCCTCGACGAGCTATGTTTTGTGATGTAGGAGTAGGTTGGAAGAAAGTTAGGGGCGGCCAAATCAAAACATGGCAGAAATGCATGAAGTCACTGACAAGTGACTGGACTGAGTCATGTTGGTAGATGTAGACTACCTGGTTGGGGTCCGCAAGACGAAAGTCACCAATCGTTAGAGACCTTGAACGACATGGCTCAAAATCGTTTGCAATGGCGCAAGTGCATCCAATCTTTGAGCCCTCTCAAATCCTAATCTTCTGGAATCGTCAGTACCTCTACCTTTGTCTTTCTAACCTTATCTCACTGAATTATACTTCTTGAATAATATCTTCAAACCCTAGTCTTCTTTATTAACATTAATACCTCTACTATTTTTATCACTATGGGATTTGATTTGATATTTGCGTCTCTGTGCTAATGTGGTATGGCAACATGAACTTATGTACATACATACGACGTTCTACGTTGCAACTGACTGACTGAACCATAAAACATCATTCAAACTATTTAAATTCTGCCCTGGGGGTTAGTATGTCTTCATCCAGAAGAGTGATGATATCTCATGATGAAAGCCAAGTTCCTTCGAAAGTCACCAGCCTCTCTTAACCAACTACAGCTATCAAACTGATATAAGAAATAGTGTGCAAACATTACAAATAATTTATTCACTTACTTGACGATTTAATTTACGACTTGTTAAAAGTGTACGTCGTATACGATTAATGGATTCAATGAAATGAACAAATTTTTCACATGTTTTTTCACGATTTATATTTAAATAATCTAATTCATAAACATCACATGGAATACGTTGACCAGTTGTATTACTGAGCATTTAGATTTTGTGATTGTTTTTTCAAAAGAATATTCAATGGAAAAGAGAAAAAAAATGAAGAGAGAAACATGAATAAAACTAGTGGTAAATAAATAAAAAAAATAATGAATTGGTTGTCTTTTTTTTTCACCAAAAAATGCTCTGATACAGCAGTCGGGGTGAAGAAAGTCTAAATCTTCTTCCCCTTTCAAAATGTCAGTCAGTCAGTCAGTCAGATGCAACGTAGAACTTCGTACGTAAGTATATCAGTTCATGTTGACATACCACATCAGCACTGAGACGCCATTGTCAATTCAAATCAAATAGTAGTAGAGGTAGTAAAGGTATTAGAAGTAATCGAAGAGGTTAGGATTAGAAGATAGTAACTCAAGAAGTACGATTCAGTGAGAAAAGTTTAGAAAGTCAAAACTAGAGGTGTTGAAGAATCCAGAAGATTAGGATTTGAGAGAACACAAAGAATAAATGCACCGGCACCATTGTGAACGATTTTGAGCCATGTCATTCAAGGTCTCTAACCATCGATTATTATCATCTCGCGGACTCCAACCACGTAGTCGACAATTACCGACATGGCTCAGTCCACTCGTCAATGACTTCATGGATTTGTACCATGTTTTGGTGTGGCCGCCCCTAACTTTCTTCCAACCTATTCCTACACTACAAAACAAAGCTCGACGAGGCAGTCGGTGGTTAGGCATACGCAACACATGTCCCAACCACCTCAACTGATGAAGTGATCATATGGGAATATGTATATAGTCACTGAAAGGAAAATCCTATTCAATGCGTTCTCATGACCGACGTGATGTTGACAAAACTTAGCGATTACTTACTTACTTAGTTACCCCTGTTACCTCCAGTGGAGCATTGTCCTATAGATGTACTCCTAGAACTGTAAACGCAATATTGGAGAGCACAGAGTCTGTCGGAAAGCTATAGTCAAAAACAAGACCAATTTTGCCTTAAACTCTATCTGTTTCGACCAATATAGCGTGTCTTATGGAAAATGAATAAAGCTATGAGTCATATCAATAATGTCCTTCAAGTAGTAGGTCATTTACAACAAAGAAAGTTTACTGGCATGTCAGACCAGATCACGTGGTAAACGCTTAAACTATAATTTGATTGGTTAGTTATAGTATAACTAAAATTAGTTATGGAAATATCTAACAAGTATAGCCCGCCGACTAGTTATCTCCAACCTACTTTGTCTTGGAAGTTCCTTTCTAGTTCTATCCAATTTTTGGTTATTTTTCTTCCCGTGTCGGTCTCCAATACTCGGCTTGATATGTTCTTTGCTCTTCCACTTTCCTTTGACCTTGAAAGTCCCAAGTGAGGGTTTGACGCGATTGTGTGCTTTCCTCCATGTGTGTACTATCCCCTTCCAGAGCTTCTTCCTGATTGCTTCCTCCACTGGAATCTGGTTTGTTCTCTCCCACAGTAGATTGTGGCTGATGTTGTCTAGCCAATAGATCCGAAGTATTTTGCGTAGACAATTGTTAATGAACACTTGTTTATTACAGATGATAGCTTTAGTGGCTCTTCAAGTTTCCGTTCCATACAATAGAAGTGTCTTGACATGTGTGTATTGGAAATTGTGACTTTGGTGTTGGTTGATAGTTATTTCGAGTTACAGATGTTTTTGAATTGTAAAAATTCAGTGAATGAAAAGCGAATTTTCAACAAAGCCTTAAACTAGGCCAATGGGTAGAATGGATTTAACCCAGGAAAGTTGTAAAATCTTCATTCCAAACCAATATCAATCAATGGTGCATATGGGCTCCAGGATCTTTATGGAACCAATAGTGAATGGAACTGAATGTTGATCACCGACTATCTCTTTGCGTAAGTTGACTGCTTTGTGGATTAGACTTGTGTAGGTCGAAGGATCATAGAGAGAGAGAGAGAGAGAGAGAGAGAGAGAGTGGTCCTCTGATAAAATGACATGGTTTGGTTTGGACACTTATCCACTTATAGATTGACTAATTTGTGTGATACATTAATATTTGGGTGTAGATTTGTATTTACGTACTTATGTGGTTAAATGAATTCGACTAGACATCAATGATGAATGAGAATTTCACTCATCATCATTCAATAAACTGGAAACTATCAGTCAATCAGTCATGTCTGTCTTTTTGGAATGCATTGATCAGTTACACTGTCTGATTTATTATTACGGTTGTAAGATATAAATCATTACGTATTTTTCTAGACTGTTTCGCATATAAAACTGTGTAAACAATTTGATTACAAATCAACCCTTAAATAAATATGCATTCATTCCATGTGGACAGTTTGTTATTGTACTTTTAACTAGTTCAAATTATTATCAAGGAGTTATGACATCATCACATTGTGTGGTAGTTTCTTATCGTCGTCAGTAAGTTCACTTCCCATGAAAAAGGTCATTTGGTTCAATACGTAACTGATTGAACTCAACTTGAAGAAAAAAAACTTGGTTCGTATGATTTTGACCCAACTGGAAATTGTTACATACAATTGCGTGCTATTTTTTGAAAACATGAATCGATCAATGTTAGACCACCATTAGAATAACTGGAAGCACTGAACGCCCTAACCGTTAGACCATTGAGCCGGTATCTAACGGTGTTAATGTCTAACTTGATCAAATTCGCGCACAATACCGAAGGTCCTGGGTTCGGATCCTGCAGGGTGCAGGAGTTGTGGATGCGCACTGCTGAGGAGTCCCATACCAGGACGAAACGGCCGTCCAGTGCTTCCAGGTTTCTAATGGTGGTCTAACATTGATCGATTCATGGTTTCAAAAATGTGTAACTTAACAATCTTCACAACCCCATAATGCAAATTGTGTATTAGTTGAACTTTAAACCAATGAAACAAAGTGTAGTACAATATAGTATTTAGGTAAATGAGTAAATATATATATGTTTAGATTTTAAAAATGTAGAGCATATAGTTTACAAAATCTAGAAACTTTACTAGTAAAATAGGGAGAAAGTTAGACATAAAATTGTTCCTCTATTAATAGGGATAGGATGGAAGGTTAGGACATGTGTTGCGTATGCCTAAACACCGACTGCCTCGACGAGAGATGTATTGTGGTGTAGGAGTAGGTTGGACGAAAGCTAGGTGCGGCCAAACCAAAACATGGCACAAGTCTATGAAGTCACAGACAACTGGACTGAGTCATATTGGTATGTGTAGATTATCTGGTTGGGGTCTGCGTTAGATCCTTGTGGAGCCAAGTTTAGATTCAGGAAATTAGAGAAGCCTCTCAATCTAATAAATTCAGAAATTTCCCTATCTCGCTATAATATTCTACTGAATACTTACTCTCGAATAGCTTCAGCCAAACGTCGAGTTTCATTGCTAAAAATCGGTATAACAAAGAAACGACTTCGCCAAAATTTGAGATTCTGAAAAACAACAAATCAAAAAAAAAAGAATTTCATAGTTTACATTGACAACTGAATTAATTTAAACAAATATTGAAGATTTGAAATCATCAATCAATCATTGTTAGACCAACATTAGAAACCTGGAAGCACTGAAAGACGGCCGTTTCGTCCTGGTATGGGACTCATCAGTGGCAGTGCGCATCCACGACTTCTAATGGTGGTCTATCAATGATTGATTGATGATTTCAAATATGTAAAAACACAAACCTCCAATACTCTGCCTGAAAATATCGTAACAGTGATCACTAGTGACTAGCTTCGTGAGGAAATTCTCGGAGTTCTAGTTGAGAAGACGTGACCAATCGAGTTCAGCCTTGTCGGGTGTAGGCAGTAACTACCAAAGACAAATGGACGAGGTCGCGTAAAAATCTGTAGATCAATAAGAGTTAAACCGTAACGCCGTTGGATGCCGGCCCAGTGGTCCGATAGTTGGGTGTTCGCGCACAATACCGAAGGTCCTGGGTTCCAATCCTGCGGGGTGCAGGAGTCGTGGATGTGCACTGCTGATGATTATCATACCAGGACAAAATGGCCGTCCAGTGCTTCCAGGTTTCTAATGATAGTCTAACAGTGATTGATTGATGATTTCAAATGTGTAAAAACACAAACCACCAAAACTGTGCCCCAAAATATGGAAGACTACGGAATAGAGCACTGCATCAGTGCTCATGACATGACTTTCATCATAGATCTGATATGTTCGTCAAATGATAGGTTTGAATGCTATTACAAATTTACCTTACTCGGTAAACCGAACAAAGAGCAATGACTCAGTGACGCGATAGGCTATTCTAATCCGTTTTTCCCCGGCCCAGCTGACTGTATTAAGAAGTCTTAATAAGGCGTAGAAAGTGTATTCTACAAGCACCTAGAAAATACAAGGTCGACAAGCACACATGATAGAAACGTTCTAGGGAGAGCCACAAAAATAGAGTACTAAAATAATCCACCAATCAATCACAGTCAAGGATTTTCTGATTGGGAAATGTTTATCTGAAGGTCAACTAAGCAACTTATGCGTGAAAACATAAAAAAATCCACAATTAGAACCTTTTCCAAGTGAGTTCTAGGGATCTAACATCCCCAAGACCGACATGGCTAAGTCCACTTGTCAATGACTTCATGGATTTGTACCATGTTTTGGTCTGGCGGCTCCTAACTTTCTTCCAACCCACTCCTACACCAAAAAACATTGGTCATCGAGGCAGTCGGTGGTTAGGCATACGCAACACATGTCCCAACCAGCTCAACTGATGAAGTTTGATTACTTCATCTATCGATCTGTCATTCTTACCTAGCACCCGTTTCCTAATAACAGTGTTGCTCACTCGAGTGTCCCAGGATATACGAGCAAACTACTACTACTATTTATTTGACATTCAACAGTGCACATTTCAACTTCAATTACTTCTCCTCACAATACAGTAGGGTGATATTTCAACAAAACATATAATGAATACTTTCATCAACAAGACAAAATGTAAGTGTCTGTTATGCCTTCTTATATGCACTAAAAAACATGTTGTTCATCTTATGTATATCACTGTAGACTGATTGTTTTTTTTTTCAGTCATTCATAGATCATTGAAATGAGCAATACAGACAAGAAGTACATGCGAAAGTGTACACACACAGAGAGAGAGAGACACAGGCACATACACACAATCTCTCTATCTATCTTGTATTCACAACCAATTCTCAACTACTCTAAGTATAGCTAGCTAACTAACGAATGTTTTGAATAGTTCCCGTTTTTTGCAGTGATAAGCATCAAGTATTGATCGTTAGAAATGTGAAACTTGTTTGTTTTTTTTGTTGCTAAACATGAATCTAATGTAAAGTATCATCCACAGAATCATTAAACCAATCAATATTAGTATGAAACATAGACATATTAATAATAAGCTTAAAAATATACTATAGAGCATGTTTATAGAAGAGGAGGAAAAAGACTGGAACATGATTAGTACAGTAACCAAAATAACACTGATTCTTTGTAACAACGATAGTGGTGTGTGCGTGTGCGTGCGTGCGTGTCGTTAAACAAAAACTAGGGGTAATATGCAATAAAAGAGAGAAAAAGCTTAATTTCGTTTGAAATGATCAAGATTATCTCGTTGTTAATAGTTTGATCAGTCTTGGTGAGGAGCACATGGGCTCATCCCACATGGATTGGCTCGATACAACGATAATGACACAATTTTACATAGAATAGAATTTAGTTAGCGGTAGAATTCATAACACACTTTTCAACCCTATTTGCGACTCATCAACTGAATGTACCTGCATCTTGGAGTTAATGTTCAGTTCGGGATTCGACCGCAGTACCGTTTGATTCAAACATCATAATGCTATCATCGACTTAGCGAATGAACTTACATAACCTCTCAGTTTTGCAACGAGGTATGTGAGTTAATTCAATTTGAAATGATTGTGTGACATTTTGACTAAAATTTGATCAGTTTTGGTTGGCATATGAGTGTCATCCTATGCGGAAACATTATGATATTAATTTAGTCAGGACACAATAGGTTGAATATGGTGATATGCGAAGTAAGCAGCATACACACACTCAAACAACAATAATAACAATTAACGGTATGAGTAAATAATAGAGAAAGTTGAAATATATGTGAATAACTCAACGAGGATGGATTGGTTAAGTTCTCAAGAGGTTAACACAAGCCTGTAAGCTTGCCATATTAGTGCATACAGTACAACCTATTCTATAAAAGAACGGTACCATCAATAATTTTTATGTGACAGATAGATTGTAGTCTATAATACAATCCAGAAAGTAATTTATATCTTATTTGGGGTCTATGAATTACACGTAAAAATAATATTCTTCAGTAAGAGACATAGCCTGATCATTAAGGAGTAAGTACACTAATGTAGACATTTCTGGTCTATCAACTTTAACCGAGTTAGAATTTCTATTCATTCAAACATGAATAAAAAATTTAAAAAAAGAAGTAAAAACTTGAGTAGATGATAGTATGATAGTAGAATGGATTCCAATATTCAATTTTCAATTTATAAGTAGGAAATTTAACATCGACTTATGAGTAAGTCAGTCAGTCACAGCGTAGAACTTCGTACGTAAGTAAATCAATTCAAGTTTCCATACCAAATTAGTAAAGAGAAGCAGTTGTCACTTCAAATCTCATAGTGGTAGAGATAGTAGAAGCATTAGCGGTAATGGAGAAGATTAGAATTTGAAGATAAGATTCAAGAAGTATAATTCAGTGAGATAAGATTAGAAAGACAAAGGTAGGGGTGTTGACGAATAACAGAAGATTGCAATTTGAGAGAACTCAAAGAATGGATGCACTTGCGCCATTGCAAACGATTTTGAGCCATGTAGTTCAACGATTCTAATCATCGGTTACTATCATCTCGTGAACCCTAACCAGGTAGTCTACATCTACCAACACGACTCAATCATCTTGTCAATGACTTCATGGATTTGTGCCATGTTTTGGTGTGGCCGCCCTTAGCTTTCTTCCAACCTAGTCCTACACCACAAAACACAGATGGACGAGGCAGACGGCGGTTCGGCATTCGTAACACTTGTCCCGACCACCTCAACTGATGCAGTTTCACTACTGCATCTATTGATTTGCCATTCTTACTTAGTACTCGTTTCCCTAACTATAGCATAGCCTACTTGGTTGTCCGAGGATACACGAACAATTGCTTCGAAGACATCTATAACTGAATACCAATAACCTCCGACTATCTTCAACTCTTACCGGCCATATTACACAGCCATAAATTAGGACAGAGCGAATTGTTGCAACAATTCTAACCCTAACCAAAAATGACCTTAGCATAATTTCCAATAAATATTAGTTCTGTAACGATAACAAACTAACACTGACGTTAGTCAACCCAACTAGTTCAATGACTTGTAATCAAACGACAAAAGGAAGATTTATGTAGATAACAATTTACCTTTCAAAATAACAATAATGTCACCTTGAATTTTCAATCTTTATACATACAGTAGTGTGTCGGATTACTACTTTCACATCACGCTAAATAATCATGTTTCAGTTACAAATGTTCACAGAAAATAAAAAAAAATTAATTTTATGAATAGAATACCAATTGTTTATTACAAGGATACAATTACCTAGAGAATCGTTCGTTATGTTGTATTCGTCTAAACAACTAGATTGATAGATTAAAATGGACTAGGCATAATTGTTGATTTACCCACACTGTATTTCATGAGTTTATAAATAATTAGACTTGACTGAAAAACAACATGTTGGCAAATTTTTTTTCTCAATCAATCTTTTAATCAATAGTGTGATGTAACATGTAACAAGAGAATGATACTGTTATGATAGAATTTCAATGTGGTTGCATCATATTCCTAGTGTGGTGCGCGCTACTTATAAGTAGTATATGACGCGAGTAAAAACGTAATGTCTGGAAGCAGAAGATGAGGGGGAAGATCAAGAAAGGAAGAGTGGGAACAAAATGGGATTTGTATGAAACACATGAACAGTGAAATGTCAGACAGTGGATTGAGACGTTTGTAACAGGAACAGTCCAGTTCGAGATGATGGATTGATATTTTGCAAATTAACGATTGACGATATAGTTTTTCTATTTTACCAATTAACTCTGTAATTTGAGACGCTTAATTGTTTGGTAAATGTTAGATTTGTAAAGCGCTGGATGGCTATTTCATCCTAGTATGGGAATCGTCAGTATTGTGCATCTACGACCATGCAAACGAGAATAGAACCCAAGAACCTTAGTCTCTCATGTGAACGATTAACCTTTAGACCATTGAGTCGACATCCAACGGTGTTAATGTCAAACTTCAATCAATCCATGATATCACGTGATTATCTCCCAAAGCACGATATTAAAAAGTGACAACTAAACAGGTCACTATTTAATGTGAATACCTATACCGTCGTTTATCCCTAACAATTATC